GTTTAATGTAAGTGGCTTTTGTTCGGGGCGAACAATACTAAGGAAGGGACAGTGTTACGACAGCGGAAGTCATGTGACGCTGGTAACACGTAATGAGTTCTAGAAAGATCGGGGAACATCACGAATAATCCAGTATTTGCTAGGCTCTCTCTAATCTTGTACATAAGTGCGCCAGATAATGAATCGGGGATAGAATTGCAGACAGGCAGAGATAGTGACGGACAATTGAGTCAAGCGCGGTAAAGTGCGTGAATCGTTCATTGTGAATTATAGCGTGTGTATAAGTTAAACTGATTGTAGAAATTAAGTGTATTGCAAAGTTGTATTGAGAAAGAATAAACTAGTTTTATTTAAGAAAGGACTTGTATCGCTGAAGTTTTTCGGAAGGAATTTTTACGGAAAAATAACAAACGACCAGAGACGTAACAATATTATGAGGATTAAACTTCTGTGTATAATTTATTTTCCGTAACATGTGTCTTCAGCTGTAAGTCTGAAGTTTATAACTCTAAAAAGTAGGTTTCGATACCAGTGGTGGGCACAGCACAGATAGCCCATTGTGTAGCCTGGCGTTTAACAACAAACAAACAAACTTATTATAAGCCTGAAATTTGCATTGTAATTACTGAATGTAGAAAATCATAAAAATCCTAGTCTTACCAAGCGGTGAGATTTACTTACAGAACTATTTTTTAATTAATGTTATCTATAATCAAAATAAGGACTCTTTCATTGATAGAGTGTATTTTGCTACATCATTATTCAAAGTAATTTGTTCTCTTTAAAAAATATATTAGATAAATACATGTATATTACTTTTTTGTGTCAAAATAATTTACCGTTAGAGAGCACTTATTCACTAAGGAAGTCACCAAGTCTAAGTGTAATGACATGAAAAAGGTGTGTGGATGATTTTTGTTGTATAAGTAAATATAGTTTCACATAAAAAATATATTTATCGAACTTTTGCAAATATAAATCATATGCAAGGAAAGTTAAATGTGAACCACTATAGTTTATTATTATTATAGTACTATTCGTAGGATTTGATCCTCAACCTTTGGTTAACCCTACAACTTGTTACACTTACAAGTTACAGCAAGCATTACATTTACAACGTATAAAATTTGTGTTAATAATAATACCGTTAGTGGTATTGTTAAACAAAGCAGTACGCAAGTCTTTGAATGTTTTGTACTTATTGTGCCTAGAAATAGAATAGACAGTGGCTTATGCTCAAGCATCCACATAATTTTCACAATTTTTTAAAGATATATAATTTATATTTAATATGTAAACACAAAATGTATAGTAATATAAAATTAATGTCTTCCTATTCTTTCATCCAAATTTTATTTCAATATATCACTGGTTATAACGACTTTTTACTCAGACCTCACACCAGGGCTTTGCATGTAATGATGTATGCATCCACATACATTTGATACTGGCTATGCCACAGATAGACTAGTAAAAGTATTAAATTATTATCAGGGTTAGAGATTTTTCAACAGCAACAAGCTATACTGGTATTCAAATCCTTAATACTGTTATTGCTGAACAAAGTAGTATGTAAGTTAAAATCATAAATAATAATATTCAACGTTAAACTGGTACACAATTAAAAACATTTTATTTAGGCCTATTTATGGACTTCAAAAAGTTGACGAATCAACGTGTTTCGACATTACATCCTGAGGTTGACGTTGTAACATCGA